CGGCTCAGGGAAAGCCTCCAGGCTCCGGCTGCAATGGCAAGGTCCCAGAAAAGCAAGACTAGAGGGGGTTTAACGATAGTCTCCTTCCCTTTCTCAGTTTTCATTCATCTGTCTGCAGTGTTTTGGGAGTGTAAGGGTGAGCAGCGGATGAACAGGCAGCTCTCTGGGGCAGGTTAAAGCCGATGTTTATTCTACTCGTCAAACAAAACCATCTCCCACATTCACCGCCAAATGTCAATATTAAAATCCAGGACTTTTCGTTTTAAAATATTTCACCTCGTTCCTTCCTGCTTCGCAGGATTCCAGTTTTAAATAGATCTTAAAAATCCAGCCCGTTTCCGTGAAAACCATTTACCCCCCCCCCCAAAAAAAAAAATGCTTTCTGTCCTCATTTGCAGTTCTTTCACCACCACCCCTTCCCATTGTTACCGCTTAGGGCACTGCGATTTTTCTATACAGGGCTGGAAACAGGCTCCCTTTTCCCCAGCCAAAACAGGATCCACTGCGCTGAAATAAAACAGAGGAGAGAGGAGAGCAGGGCTTACTCTCGTCCCGATAGCTGCTCACAGCTTTTGGGAAGAACTGCTCCTGCAGGTTTGGGGGATTTAGTTTTTTGGTTGGTTTTGGGGGGGTTGGGTTGGGGTTTTTTGGGGGTTTTTGTGTTTTTGTTTTTTGTTTTGGGGGTTGTTGTTTTTGGTTTTTTTCTGCTTTGCAGGCAACAGCAGCTTTCGGTGAAGTCACGGGGAGTTTTTCAGGAGTAAAGACTGTCAGGTGATGCTCTGTGCGCCAAGAGCGCGATAAACTATTGTTAGCGCTGGTTTCATGAGGCAAAAGATTCCCCCTGGTACTTTAATAGATTTTTACAAGAAAGAGAAATGTCCACACGCATTTCATTCACCTTGGCGTTTTAAGCGAGTAAGACTGCGAATATAACTGCAGCTGTACCCAATGCTTTTCGTAAATCTCAACCCGCGCTAATTTATCACCTGGAGAGAATCAAACGTTTCTGTTTTGATGGAAACGTTCCTCTCGACCTGAGGAAAGCGTCCTCTTCGCATGTTGTCAGAAGATGAAGGCTATTCCGCGCACGCCACTCTTTATTTAATAGCACTAATAGTCACGGGCACTGCACCTCCCCACGCTGGGGACCCGGGGAGGTCACACTGCACCGGGTAGAGCTCAGGGAACTGTTTAACTTTGCTTTAAAACACCTTAGCAGGTGTTAAACCTTTTTTTTTTCTTCTTTTCTTTCTTTCAGCGTTTGTTTTTGGGCTTTGGGTTTGTTTTTGTTTTGGTTGGGTTTTGTTGGGGTTTTTTTATTCCGGGGATTTTTTCATCTGCCCCATCCAGGGCAGATCCGGGACAAGGGGGAGGGTAAAAGGATTATTGTCTATGAATATTCGGCGAGAAATATACACGCAAACACACACACACACACACTCCTTTAATTTTAGTGTTGTTTGGAGGGAGCTCCAAAGTAATTGCGGTGATTTCACAATTGCGTGAGATTCTGGTTTGGGGTTTGTTGATTTTTTTTTTTTTTTTTTTTTTTTTTTTTTTTCCGTCTTCTTATTAAGGAGACAGTATAGAGACACTCTTAACTCGCAAATCCCCAGAGATTTCCTTCTCCCCCCTCCTCCCCAGAAAGCGTTCACAGGCAGAGGAACGACTTGCTGGAGGGGAGATCGGGGCAGCTCTCCCTCCGCTGCCCCGGGGCCCCGGATCAAGCCCCGGGCCGGGCTGGGGGGTCCGGGGGGTGCGGGAAGCAGAGTCCTGAGCTGGGAGAGGAGCGCCTGGGAGGACCGACTGCAGTCTTTTGCAAATGTTTCATTCCAGGGAGCTTGCTGATTTTTTTTTTCCCCCTTAATTCATAAAAGTCAGTAGCTGTGCGCGAATAGGACCGACTCCGCACGACGAAGCGGAGCTACGCACAGTAGTGACACGACGTGTAACACCATGTCCTGGAAGAGCTGTGCACATACACAGGCACACGTCCAGCTACAGGGCAAAAAATGTGTGTGGATGACTGTTTACGAGAGAGACAGAAAAAACAAAGGAATTCACTGAATATATTGGTGCTGGGGATTATTTAAGACATTTGACTAGTTCCATCATAGGGACACCAGATGTTATTTATGAGGTCTCGTATAAATGTGGGCCATACCATGCAGGTGGGGAGGGAAAAGGGAAAAAAAAAAAAAAAAAAAAAAAAAAAAAAAAAAAAAA